TCATCATTACCATCATCTTCATCATTACCATCAACGTCATCATTACCATCATCTTCATCATTACCATCATCATCATTACCATCACCATCATCATTACCATCATCATCATTACATCATCTTCATCATTACCATCAACATCATCATTACCATCAACGTCATCATTACATCAACATCATCATTACCATCATCTTCATCATTACCATCATCATCATCATTACCATCATCTTCATCATTACCATCATCATCATTACCATCACCATCATCATTACCATCATCATCATTACATCATCTTCATCATTACCATCAACATCATCATTACCATCAACGTCATCATTACCATCATCATCATTACATCATCTTCATCATTACCATCAACATCATCATTACCATCAACGTCATCATTACATCAACGTCATTATTACCATCATCTTTATCATCACCATCTACATCATTACTATCACATCATAATAATCATTACATCATCTTCATCCTTGTCATTAGTACATCATTACCATCACCAAAATCATAATCCTCACCATTACATCATCATCGTCATTATTAGCTCACCATCACCTTACTCATTCGCATCAGTGAGTGCAGTAGTTCTAGTTAGTAGACTGACCCTGTATCTCTGCAATCTCTCCGACCCATGAGTTGCTGAGGAGCCCGAGTCCCGGCACAGACGAGGTGCCCAGAATCACCTGCCCTAAGAAGACAGCATCAGCCGGCACCCGCGTGGGGTGAAAGGTCGACTCTAGAGCCTTCTTCTGGCAGGACAGACGCGAGTAATCGATCTCATACAGCACACCCTGAAGACAGAGGAAAAAACAAACACACACACACACACACCTACACGTCACTACCGGCACTGATGTTCACTAACAGCAGACGTTATCAGCTAATGGAGGCTTCATATCACACAGTACTGACAGAGGAGCTGATGCAGCGTTCTTAGGGAAACACAATGCCCCGTTAAGGAGATTTGAATGTGTGTGTGTGTGTGTGTGTGTGTGTGTGTTAC